ACTAATCGTTGATCACAGATAGCAGATACTCGGTTTGTTAGGTTTCTGCCTGAGCTACATCAAGCTAACGACGGCTATCGTAAACGCAACCAGACCGGAAGTGTTAGCATAAAAAGTAGCGTATATGTTTAATACAAAAGGGCACATAAAACATTCAAATATGGTTAAATATCTATTAATTCATTATTTAATTAAGGGTCAATTTGATTTTCACCTAAATTTGTCCGTTTAGCCACAAAAAAACGCCACATTTTGTCATTACGGATTTTATTTTGAAATTAATAGCCTGCGTAGTGTTAGCTGACTTGATCTTGGTTCAGAAAGTAAAAACGGAAGTGGCGTAACATTCGATCCGTGTGCTTACTCGTCAACCGTCCCCAGCTCTGTACTGTTGTACTGTTAAGTGAAGTATATTTGGTCCCATTCACAAGCTGCGACACAGCCGGTTCACTACACTATATTTTTATATTTCATTCTGCTTTATTTTGATGGAGAAACTGTGACTCTAACATCCTTCCAAAAAACAAATAAAGTAAAATGGGGGAAAAATACTATTTTTGTAAATAAATCAGCCAGAGATTCCCTTGTCAATATAGCAGTTACTTTTCCTCACTTTAAATTGGAAATAATAATGATAATAATTCATGGCTACTGTAAAATATATCAAAAAGCTAAATGCAGGTATAATAGCTCAAGATGTTTTAACCCGTTTTAAGTTTAAATGAAGTCAGTAGCTGAGAGTATGTGAAAGTAGTAACATGTCACAGTGGTGTGACATGTTATTGGCTCTTGAACCAAGAGGATTTTAAGATTTTCTCCACTGGGATGCAGTATATAAAATAAAAGCTAAAAATGTGGAGTATTTTAAAAAGTATAAATTGTAGAAAAATAAGCTGAATACAGGCATAAATGGCCTTAGAGATGGGGCTGAGCATTTTAATATTTGAATTATTTCTGTAGCTGCAAATTAGCAGAGGCTGTTGGAGTCCAAAAAAAACCTATGGAAGAATGATGAAATAAGAAGAATAAAAATTGGATCACAAAAGTGTGTATGCTAAAGAATCTTATGGTTTTAGGTTTGCAAGTCAAACTTTTAACTTAACAGGAGTATAACTATTTTTTATTATGCCTAACTTTTAACTGGGAGAACTGGGCTTCCACTTTGAGGCTTGCAGTCTTTCCCTTCTGCCAGCAGAGGTCAGTGTTGTGTTGGCCACATTTGAGTATCTTCTTACATCCAGTATTAGTGCAGCGTTTAGTGGGCTATTTGCTGGGATGTTCCTAACTATAGCCTTAATAGATCCAACATTTTTATCTTTTTTTAACATGACTGTGGTGATCTTAGATTAAACAACAATTTATAGACTAAACACATAATTTGTTACTCATCAGACTAATCAATGATTAGAATGAACTTTCATCCATATCTGGCTGACAGAAACCTCAAGGCACTGGGTCATAATCTCACTTGTTTTAAGTGAGCAATAATCTTTGAGGTGCTAAAGTTAAAGCTGCATGTGTGGAGGCTCTGAGGTTTGAAAGGGCTTTCTGTGCTTCAGAGCAGTGACCATGGAAAACCTCTGGTTCTGAGCTGATCCTCTGCTATGACCCTCTGGTATGCTGATCTGTATGTATAGTGTTTACACAGTGTTGTGTGACAATCTGGCAACAAGAGGCACTAAGCCTGGACCCCAGTGGAAATCTGATATTCGTGTACTACTCTGTGATATGGTAAACATGTATTTTCTTGTGCTTGTTTCATTATAACTATTTCATAATGGGTTTAAAAAGAAAATGGGCCTCTGTGTGACTACTGTGTTGAGCTACTGTTTTGGCTGTGTGTGTTCTGTGCTGCTGTCCCTTTTCCTTCCATTGTAGAGCTGCTCAGGTGTGTTGCATTACATAACGAGGTGCATCACACCTGGCATGGAGGAGGTGTTTAAGAGCTCCTGTGCCAGCAGCAGAGGAGAGAGGCCTCTGGTGTGGGGATCGCTGGTCCTGCTGCCTCCCAGCATGGGTTTTTTGTTGTCTTGTTTGCTTGATTTATTTGTAATAAATAAATCCCATGGATTTAAGATGTTTTGTTTGCCCCACAAGGCCACCTAAGAGTGGGGTGTAACACTACATATGTAGACTTTATGAACAAGAAGCAGAAACCAAAGTGAGGAAGACAGAACATTTGGTAACACAAGACTTTGTGGAGGCCATTCAGGTCCAGCAACAGAGTGTCGCAGGGATGACATTATTTTTGTAGGCTGAACAGGAAGTTAGGGTCACCCCAGTTCCCTTAAAAAAGCCAGTGGGATTTTTCCATTGGAGTCTGGATCACTGCAATAAGCTATGTGGCAACAATTCAATAATATCAATTCATGATACTTACAAGTTTTGTTCAGCCAGAAAATTGTCACAAATGAACACCACTTTTATGATTTTTGAAGCGTAAATGCAATTGCCAGAGATAAAAAGCTAACGTTAGGCTACTACAAACTACGCTGTGGTGCATGACTTCAACATCACCACCACAACAACGCTGCAAAGCCATGTTAGGCATGATGACGTTCTGTAGTCTCATTTAGCTACTTGTTAGCAAACACCGTTGTTAAGACACATAAAAGCTTCAAAATTCACAAGTGGGGTTTTCACTGACCTATGTTATGCAATAGAAGAAAACGTAAAAGTTTCTTAAGCTTGTGTTAACCACAGACCTTGTTTCAGGCACATAACCAAAAACCTATTGCCTTTGAGACAAGGGAACTGGCAGTGCAAAATGCTAACTCGTGTCTGCTGAGGAGGACTGTTACATGCAGTTGAAAACTCCAGAAAAAGCTAGTAAGTGGCCCTTAAGTTGTCTCAGTTGTACACCAGGCCTGTCAAAGGTTGTTTACTTCAGCCAGGGAACTGATACTCAAACTGGAGCTGCTCCAGAGAATCATCTGGAGAGACAACTCTGGGAATACAAGTGTCTGTTCTCAGGGCTGCTGACACTAGTGTCGCATAACGTGGTGGCCTCATGCAGTTGAAAATGAACCAGCGGTGGAAAGAATCCCAAAATATCCCGCTGAGGTAGAAGAGCTCCTTATTTTTTGCAGATGTTTTTGCTTTACTGGTATCAACATCTGTTTGCATAAAAGGAACAGCTGGCCTTTTTTGAGTTAGCTAAGTTAGAGACTTGCATTTGAACAAATTATTAAAAAGAAAAAATGGCAATATTTGTGTGTAGGACAAATAACACAACAGAATCATTATAATGAAGGTGCAGGTGACACACCTGGACACTAGCGCACATAAAAAAATCTCCAAGTTCAGGCTTGCAGGCAGACATAAGACACCCAGATTAGTCATGGAGTAAACCCTGTGGGAACGTATCAGTACACCACATCCCATGAACTCAGTATCAAAACAACAATATTCAGCATTCAGCAATATTCCTTCAGTATCGGTGCCAAGTTATTGTACGTCTCTGCCAGTTAAGTGTCAACAATAATCTCTTTGTTCCCTTGTTGTTGCCTCAGGTTGTTTATATCTGCTATGTGTTACTAAATCCCAGTGGAGGTGTTTATGTTTTTGCTCATATCGCAGATTATATGTAACAGATAATGCTGAAAACACATGCTGCGGACCAGTTTAACCCCAAGAAATTAACACTTGTGCAAAAACAGAAAAATAGGCAACAGCCAAATGTCACCAGAATCACAGACACACACACACACACACACCAGACAATAACAATCATGAGGACAATAGTGATTAGAGAGGGCAGGATTACCCTTAATCTGGAGTATATGTGTTTGTTTAGGGGCAGATATGCTCATTAAGAAGGAGTCAAAGCATAGCATAGCATCTAATTCACCATGACACCTCACTGACAGAGGTGTAATCTGCTTGTTGGGAGATTATAAAAAGCAATCCAAGTGTGTGTGTGGGCGGGGGGTCTGCCCCACACTGACATGATCATGAAGATCACAGGGGAGAATTACTGACATAATTACCCAGATGATCTGATAAAACAGATGTCTGCCTGCTTCCTTCTGTCATCTGACAGGCCCTTCACAGCCTAATGCAGTCACATCAAGCGCTTGTTATTCCCTGCTACCTTCTGAGTGTGATCTTGCTGAGTAGAAAAGTTTTTCAGCTAAAATCATGTGTGGGACGAGCTGTGTGCAGGGAGTGAACCTCAGCAGCCAGATGATGGCAGCATTTCTGCAGCTTGTTTTTTTTTTTGCTACGAAGCCTCTGGCGCATTTGCTTTAGTCATTCCTCCTCTGTGAGATGGCTGTTTTTCATTCAACGTGAACATTTTGTAAGCAAAGTGCAGCACAAGCATGAAAGCACATCAGATTAACAGCAAAACAAAGCTTCCTTCCTGTCGCTGTTTGTACACAACTAAGGCGACATTTTCAGCAGATGATGACCATAATAACGATCCTGATGTGTCCACTGTGGAGTGTTTGATGGGAGAATAAATGTTGAGGTGCTGAAATGGGAAACACAAGGTTCCAGTTGGAGAGGGATGCCCACATGTTTAAATATAGGCCACAACGCTCCTTATATAACAAGTGGGACGTCAGGGTTGTTTACACTGTTAACTGCCTGATAAATGAATGGTTACAATCCAGCATTATGTTGCACATTTCAAATCTTCATTTGTACAAATTGAGGGATTTAATTGGAAATCACACTGTAAAATAATAATTATGTATTTAAATTTCATTTTGCTGCATTATAAATAAGTATATATAAAACATGCATAGGGTGTTTTTGCATACACTTTCATTTTACAGTCCCCAGGAATTGTTTTTCCTCTGATTATTTCTGTTTGTACCGTGGTTTCTACACCAGAGAGTAGCAGTCGGAGCAGCAGGGGGCGGGGCTTGCCTTCCTTGAATTATTTAATGAGCCAATAGGAAGCGTCAGAGCTGGCTGATGGACAGGCACGGCCCCTGCAGCACACCCCGCCCCCCTATGACTCTGTGTTTTATTCTGTTTTTAGAGCAGCAGCGTCACATGTTGTTTTTCTCCAGGACCAGATCAGTGCCTGCTCTGGTGCCAGTGCACTGTTGCTTTTACCGTGACGGGGGCGCGGACACAGTTTAGTGTCTGCGATGGACTAGATTATTATAAAACGGGTTATCTGTAAAGTTTTATTGTTTTTGCTGCAGAATAAGAGCTTACCTGGAACTTGAAAAGGAGACGCGCAGAGCAATGGCAAGTCCTCCGGCGACGGGGGGACACCTGTTATCTAATGGGACGAACGGTGTGAAGAAGTGCGGATATCTGAGGAAGCAGAAACACGGACACAGGCGCTTCTTCGTGCTCCGGGAGCCGGTGGAGCGCTGCCCTGCCCGGCTGGAGTATTATGAGAGCGAGAAGAAATGGAGGAACAAGTCCGCCGCGAAAAGGGTCATAACTTTGGACTCCTGTCTGTGCGTAAACAAACGGGCCGACGCCAAACACAAGCACCTCATCGCCCTCTACACCAAGGACGAGTACTTCGCCGTGGCTGCGGACAACGAACAGGAGCAGGAGAGCTGGTTCACGGTTTTGACTGATCTCATAGCCGAGGGGAAAGTGTACGACAGCCCCGCGTCCACCTCCTCTCTAGTGGGCTTTGAGGAAGCCAGCTACGGACTCATTACTCCTGCAACAGCTGTCTACAAGGAGGTATGGCAGATCAACTTGAAATCCAAAGGCTTGGGTCAGACCAAGAACCTCACTGGAGTGTACAGGCTGTGTTTGTCCAGCAGGACCATCAGCTTCGTCAAACTGAACTCAGAAACAGCTGCTGTCAGTTTGCAGCTCATGAACATCAGGAGATGTGGCCACTCAGACAGCTTCTTCTTCATAGAGGTGGGTCGCTCAGCGGTCACTGGGCCTGGGGAGTTCTGGATGCAGGCGGAGGACTCTGTGGTGGCGCAGAACATCCATGAGACCATCCTCGAGGCAATGAAGGCCATGAAGGAGCTGTCAGAGTTCAGGCCGAGGAGCAAGAGCCAGTCTGCCAGCACTAACCCAATCTCTGTGCCCACACGACGCAACCTCAACAACCTCCCCCCGAGTCAGACGGGCCTGGTGAGGAGATCCAGAACAGATAGCATGGCAGCTACATCCCCAGGGAGGAAGTTCACGTCCTGTCGGATAAGAACAGCCAGTGAGGGCGATGGAAGCGTGACCCGACCTGTGTCCATGTCCATATCTGTGAATGGGAGTCCCACCAGCCCAAACTCTGGGAACCACCTCATCAGGTCTCACACCCTCAGCAGTGGGCGCACCTGCAGGATGCTCGAGTCCGCCTCCAACCTGCATCACAGCCGGTCCATGCCGGTGTCCAACTCCCCGCCAGGCACCTCCAGCCCCATCAGCATGTCACCCCGAGGGGGGGCTGGTGTCTACACTCCTGATAAAGCCAGGCGACCTTTTAGCTGCAGCGCCTCCATCTCTGGCTCCCTCAGTGACACTGGCTTCATGCTGTGTGATGACTACAGCTCCAGCCCAGGGGAACCCAGATTCCTCCCCCTGACCCGCAGCGACACCCCTGACTCTCTGTCCAGCACACCTCCATCCCGTGACATGAGCGACCCCTGTGGCTATATGATAATGGAGGGGGCTAATGGCAGCAGGTCAGGGGCTGGCGGTGACAGCCTGGCGTATGACAAGGCTTACAGGAAGCGGACACACTCCCTCACCACACCACGTCAACAGAGGGTGGTGGCGCCGCTCTCCTCAGCCTCCCTGGATGACTACACACTCATGAGGATGGCCCATGGACACAACTCCCACTCCGCCTCTCCCAAAGTGTGTTACCCCGAGGATTATGGTGACATTGAAATCGGTTCATCCAGGAGCTCCAGTAGCAACCTCGCAGATGATGGCTACATGCCAATGACACCAGGTGTAGCCGCTCAGTCTGGCAAGGTAGACAACTACGTGCCCATGAGCCCAATGTGTGTCTCAGCACCCAAGCAGATTGTGAACCCGAGGGTGCATCCTCAGGCGGCTGCCAGCGGCGGCTACAAGACCAACTCGCCCTGCAGCAGCTCTCTGGAGGACAATGGCTACATGAGAATGTGGTGTGGCTCCAAATCCTCCATTGAGAGCCCAGACAGGAATGGCGAATACATGAATATGTCACCTGGAAACCCACCTCCACTCCAGACCCCACCTGACTACTACATGGGCCTGCTGGCTGGTGAAGCTCCATCAGTGAGGTCAGCATACCAGGCCGGCTCCCTCACGCTCCCTGCTAAACTTCAAGCCTCCAAGAATGAGGAGAGCAACCAGTATGTGTTGATGAGCCCTCAGAGTTTGAGGCAGAGGCTGGGGGAGTCAGACTATTATTCAGTGATGCAGCCCAGTGCAGCTCAGACCTCACCGCTGAGCCCCTCGGTCCCCTCCCCAATCAGACACAACCGGGCGGAGAGCCTGGCCTACAGAGGGCGGCTCGGCAGGCCTAACAGGCTCTCCCTGGACACCCTGAGGACCCTGCCCAGCATGAACGAGCACCCCCTCCCCGGAGAACCTCGAAGCCCTGGAGAATACATCAACATTGACTTCAGCAGCGCCAGATTCTCCCCGCCCTCCACTGTATCCACAGAGAGCCAGTCTTCATCACTGGGCTCCAGCAGTGGGGGCCCCGGGAGGTCCTCTCTGACAGACTACATGAACCTGGAGCTGGGCTCACACTCACCCAAGGAGGTTGACACCCCTGCTGAGCGCTTGGACACGCTCCCAGAGTTATCCATGTGTTCAGAGGAGGACGAAGTGTACCATCTGGATGCCGAGAAAGGGCCTCAGGGCCTCGGTGATGAGGTGAAAAATGACTACACTGAGATGACGTTTGGGATGACCAGCTCGCCTCCGCAGCTTGTTCCTCAGAACACAGCAAGGTATCTGTTGACAGGAAGCCATTTATTATCATGTATTTCAAAAGTCTGGCTGTATAATTGATCCCAGGTTAAGGCAAACATCGTGGTATAGCAGTTACTATGTTCTGAACAGTTTGTACTATGTGATAAAACTAGCATTTTAATCACTCTGAATGAACAAATGTACATTTAACTCAACAAACAAATGTACAATGTGTAATACAAAGTGTCTAATCGTCAAAATTTCAACACCTTTCTGAATATTTTAGCAGTTCTGTAATGTTTTAATAGCTTGATGGTCTCCTTTTTTATCTACATTGCCTATTTGATGACTAAACATGTCATATTTTGAACTTCCAGCAGCCAGAGCAGCCGGGAGAGAAGGCTCTCTCTGGAGGACCAGGGAGTCCCACAAGGCATTGGGGTCTTCCTGCTTGGAGCCACCTCTTCCTCCACGTTGGACCCCGACTGCTCCGCCAAGGTGATCCGCGCCAATCCGCAGGGACGTCGGCGCCACAGCTCAGAGACCTTCTCCTCCACTGCCACTGTGACACCAGTCTTCCCCTCCTTTGCCCGTGGCGACATGGTGAAGAGGCACAGCTCGGTGGAGAACATCTCGTCCCGGAGCAGCGAGGGCTCAGACGAGGAGTACGGCAGCCCTGTGAACCGGCAGAGCTCTGCCGGCTACGCCAACGGGCTGAACTATATTGCCTTGAACCTGCTGGACAACAGGGATGTGGAGAAATGCGAGGACCTGGCTGGCTTCAAACCCACCAGCAGCTGCAAAGGGGGTATCAATGGATTACACAGCTCACCATATGTCTGTTTGGGATTCAAGGAGGCTGCAACCACTGCCAAAGGTGAGTGAGGTTGCTGTCAGATGTGTTCTGCTAAATAATTTATTTCAACTTTCAACTTAAAGCCTCTGCAGGTGTTACTCTTTTTAAAGGAGGGAAAAAAGTGTTTAAGGAATGTGAACAGTTGTTCTGAGTTTGACTTTACTGTAGGAAAAGAGAGCGGCACTGTACAACTGGCAGGCAAATGGAGGAGAGGAAAAACAAGGATGAAGACAAACTTGTATTTCCTTCAAATTCAAATTCAATCTGGCTCTCTGGATTTCAAAGTACACGTAGGTGGTGCTGATGCAGCCTTCAGGTGCTCCTCTTAAGCTCCTACTTCTGAGTACTTTCATTTCCTGAAACATGTGTGGTGTCTTGTGGCTACTTTTGCAATCAAACAACAGAGGTTTGGAGTGTCAAAATGAAGAAGAGTGGTTTCTGGTTTTAGTTGCAGTACATCATACTGGACTGTTGTTTTTTGACATGTGCATATTTGGTATTGCCTGTACTTCCCACAACATGTGAACGCAGCACAAGGCTGCTATGAAACGTGACCAGGCTGGGAGCTCTGAAGTAAACAAGCACCACGACAGAGCAGGACGCTGCCTCCCCGCTGCTGTCGTGGGCTGCACACACTAAAAATACACAAGCAGATTTTGGGATTCCACCAACGCTTATCATGAATGAATGTGCAAAATGAGAGGCTCGAGATTCATTATGAAACATTAGCCACAAGTATTGTTAAGGCCTCCTAATGTCACACTGAGCCGCAGGCATTTCCGGCTGTTGTTTTTCAGTTGGGTAGGCTTTAGGATGTCTTGCACATCAATGTGACCTCTATAGACTTTTTATTCCCCCACCACCTCCATGATCAATACCGTGTCCCAGAATATCCTAGTGGACCAAATAAAGCTGTGGCATGGGATAGCAGACGTTGTAAACAAATAGGGATGGCAGAATGTTGGCATTAAAGCCAAGTTTGACCCCCGTCTCTGCGCTGTTTACAGGACACAGTGAGCTCACATGTGTTTGTGAGCATGTAAAAGGGGTTGGCACAGGAGGAGGGGTTGTATGCTGACATGTGAGGCCCCTGCACAAGTGGATATGTGTTTGTGTCCTTGCAGGCACACTGAGGGAAAACAACAAAGTGGGAGAGTTGCTATGCAGCCATCAGGTAACTGGATGTCACGGTCCACATTCCTGGCTGAGCGGGTTTGAAAAGTTGCTGTGAGAGGGGCCTGTTTTTGTTTCCCGGCTGCGGGCCATTTGAATAGAAAGTGGCTTTTATTTCACCACATGGCCCCTGTGTGTGGAGAGAGACGCCATATTATGTTTCACTCTATATACAACAGAAAAAATGCTCTAAACATTGTTGTTATTTGCACAGTCTGTGATGTTCTTGTAAATACAGAGGAACATACAAACACAAGCAGCCATCACAGTATGGAAAATCAGTTTTCCTTTATGCCTTCTTTAAAAGTGACATCCTGTTTTCATTTAAACAGGCTGTAAACTGAGTTAATGATGCTGCATCCTTTCACAAATTTCATTTACAGCAAAATTACTCTCAACAGCATGTGCTAGCATGTTTGTTTTCATCTGTTTGCACGTTCTCTGCACTCATGTTTTAATGGAGTACAAACATTTTTATGATACTAATAAAGCTTGGATGTTATTGAGCAGGGAGAGGGAGGGAAAACAGTCATGCACATACATGTGGACTGTAGCACGTACGCATGTAGAGCAGTAAGGGGGTGTTTTTTTTTCTTCTAGGGATCTTTTTTTCTTTCCAGTGGCGTAGCCTGCATCCGTGAGCACTTGGCAGAGATGTGCAGAGAGGGAGAGAGGGAGAGGCCTGTTTTGTTTTCCAGAGCCTGACTGTTTGTGGGCGAACGAATGCGTGCATAATGGAGCAGGATGGCACGTGCACTCCACTGCCCTTCTGCCTCATTAGGCTGTTCACTTAGCAGAAGTAAGACAAGCAGAGAGGGGGAGATGGAGCGCAGCCTTGTATGCTCAGTAGAAAGAGGAGGGGAGGGGCTTGGGCTTTTTAAAGCAACAAATAAACTCATTGGTGAGCCCCCCCCCCCCCCCCGGCCCCCTTTCGAGCAAGGTGCATTCTGGGAGTGCAGGATGGCAGACACGATGGCTTGTTTACTGAATGCTCAGTCCCACTGCACTGCTGTGTGGCGAAGTGGGGTGAAGAAGGTCAAAGTGCAACACTGGGGTTTTTGGTGATGGGCCCCACTGGAGGAGGGCTTTGGTTTTGTGTCTATCAGGGTGTTGCACTGGGGCGCTGGACCATGTGCCATCCTGACCAAAAGGCCTGCAGGTTTTTAATTCCAGCCAAACACCTCAGTTGCAGTGGTGCCTCCAGGAATTTTGCCTGGATGGGGCCACTGAAAATCTTGGGGTGGCACCAAAACCAAAAGCCATAACTAAATTTAAGGGATTCTTTTATGCTGTTGAAGTTCATAGGCACATAGTTATATACTTTGGAGTCTTATTTAACAATTAATATTACTGATTAGCTGATGTGTATAGACTGATGCCAGTACAGTTAACACTTTGAGCTCAAAACAATCCCATTTTAATGTGTTCTGTATCTCATGGGCACCCACAGAACCCATTTTCATTCAGATATCTTGAGGTGAGAGTTCAGGGGACTCGTTTGAACATGGCCACGCCAGTTGTTCCCTCGCCAAAATTTGGCCTAACTTTGTAGCATTATTTAGACCCCCTCCCAACAAGCCATGCCAACAGTGTTGCTATTAATGGGTGCCTTACGTTGACTAGTTTTACGAGATACCACTACCCTCACACTATCTTAAAAATGAGCACTACAGCCTCTTAAAAACAGTAGTGAATCTTAGTTAACCCTCCCAGTGAAATGTTGTTTAGCTGGAATGAAAACTACTGGTGGAATGCCACCGCTCTGGAGGAAGATATGTGTTTGTCAGGATGAAAGTAAAAACAGTCAGCCCCTAACTGGAATTTAGCCCCCCAGACCCATGTGACAGCCCCTTTGGAAAGAAACTTGACTGCACTGCTTCCAGTCAACAAAACCCCAGAAGTCATAAGCTACTGACAGCTGGATGTGGTTTTTTTTGGTGCTCCACCTAGAGTCAGCTTAGATGTCCTAATGCGTGGCATAAGTGTCAGGTGTTTGTTTACCTCTTGCTTTGTCAGCGGGCCAGCCCATGTGACTTGGAGGTGGTGTTTACCTCTGCCCTAACCTCAGTTCCCCGTCTCTTCTCGCGGCCCCGGCTAGCCGCAGCTCAGCCAGGTGGATGTTCTGTACCAGACCCAGATTAGCCAAGTCAGCCGTCTCTGTTTTCAGCTCCTCGGTCTGACTAATACCTTTATCTAACGGCGGCGACAGGCTCCTGCTTCCTCTGTGACGATTCAAGAAGCTTGATTTTGCACAGTGAGATTATTCTTATTACAGTCAGACTTATATGTCAGTGTGGGATGGGAGGAGTGTAAAAAAGGAAAAGGGGGCTCCAAGACCGGAGGAGTCCTGCTGTGAGGCTCCGAGTCCCTCCTGAGTGCTTGTGGCAGATGGCCACTCTCTGTAGGGCAAGTGTGCGTGTGTGTGTGTGTAGTTGGGGGGGAGAAAAGGGGGGTTAAACACCTGCCACTGCCCTGTCTTCACACACACGCAAACACTCTCATTACACTGATTTCCCTTCCCTTTGCCTGCACTAGCACGTCAACATATACATACCACTATATGTCTCTTTCTCATGCACACACACATTCCTACCTACTCACTATCCCTCCGCTAATGACAGCCCACCATCTGCCGCACCCACAGGCTGCAGAGAGCGTGACCATCAGCATCATGTGTGTGTGTGTGTGTGTGTGTGTGTGTGTGTGTAATTCATCGGACAGATTAGAAGCATTCGTGTCCATCTACTCAAATCCTGCTTCCCCTTAACGTCATTCAGTCAGTAGTATTGCGGGTGATGTCATCGCGGGGATGATGTGGTGGGCAGATCGAAATGCCCCCAGAACATGTTACATATATCTGTGTTACTTACATTTCCTGTGATGTGTGTGATGTTAGAGGGTGCAGCAAGTGAAAGGGGTCTAGCTGCACAGCCATGCATCTCTAACTCGCTCTGAGCATGCTCAGTAGATGTGGCTGTCAGGTGATTTTTGATGACATAATCTTGGGCTACAGGCACTTTTTTTTAAAGTGTTTTCTGACATTTTATAGACCACATCTGCAGATAAATCAATAATGAAGACATTTCTTTTGCCTCTCTGCTGCTCACACACACTGAGACTTAGACATATGCATAAAGGCTACACTGATACCACTTTTTCCACAGCGTCATTACTATGTGGCGCCTATGTGGCTCTACTTGATTTTCTGCATGTCACATTTTGTGCTGGCATGTGTGGCATCATTCATAAAGGTGACACCTGATTTTAGCCATCAATCTGATTGTTCAAGCCATTGTTGCTGCATCCCTGCACGCTGCCTCAAACACACACACACAAGCTCTTGAATACTTTATTTACATCTGCATCAGACCTGCATTGAAGCTGAGATCTTGCAAACCTAACAAAGCAGCTGCAAAAAGCCAAGTTACAAAATGCCATGTTACTTGATATATAGAGAACAAACATGCGCACGTAACACCGCAGGCTCTTGTGTCAGAGTTTCCAGGCAGCGTGTGTGTGTGTGTGTGTGTGTTATGGCACAGGCAGGAGGGGGGCTAAAGTAGGCCGGGATGTTCCAGACAGAAGCGCTAGCTGCTAGATAACTGCGTGGCCAGCGTTCCCCACATTTAGCCAGCCACAGCTCCAGATGAGATTACAGCCTCTGCAGGCGAGATTAGACGGCCAGGGGCAGATCAGTGAGAGCCAGCGGCTACTCCACGGACAGCAGCTGGCTAATGCAAGGTGTGGGCATTTGTTTGCTTTAGCCTTTACAGATCTCAGCTCATCATAACTGAGCACACATCATGCTAAAATTAGCAGAAATCTGTTTGTAAATTGTCTATAAAACCATATCTGGGTATCTGTTCACTGTAAATGAGTAAATTATATAATATACAGAGACTTATCTTAGGATTTAGAACATCCCTAATGTCCTCACCTACCCCCCATCCCTCTTTGTTCATCATTTATCACGTAAAAATAGAATTAAGATAGTAAAATAGTGTTTTCTAAAGCTGTTTCTTTATACATAAACTGGATGATAGCTCCAAAAATGGCAACTGTTCAGGAACTAAGAAAAACAGCCTTGCTTTCAGTCCGACCGCTGTGCATTTTTGAGGTTATCCGACGGCTTTTTAAAGAGTTTCATCAGCCCTGCACTGATAGAACTCTCCCAGCCCAAAGACAACCATGTAATCCTCCTGTGGTTTCTTGACACATGACTGCAGCGGGGATATTGTCCTCCTGGAAGTCTCTCCTTCGTCCCCGCTCCCTGTTTCCCATACCCACATTGAGTGGCGCAGCCCTCTCCTCAGCTGTAAGAATCACTTCCTGGAGGCTTCCAGTTGACCCAGTGCCCCTCCCTCCCCCTGACCACCGCCCTGATTTCAAGCAAATCCTTCCTTCTGTATGCTTGCAATGCCCCCAACCCCTCCTCCACACTTAGACTTTCAACAGTAGCCACAAAAACCTTCTTAACTACCAATGCAATGTAAATGCAGTATGATTTCTCTCTCTATATATGATGAGGGCTGCATCAGCTGCTACTGCTGCTAGCTGGTCCTCCTCTGCTCAGCGTGTGTCCATAGCAACACGGCAGCGCGACAGGAGACCCCCGCCCCCCATCACTCTTCATCATAGATTATGTAATAACAACCATTACCGACCAGCCCCCTACTTCCAGCCCCCCCTTGCTGTCCTTCGAAGCGCTTCCCGGGCGAAACAGCTGGTGTGTTAAGAGAATGAGACACACCATCTCTTCACAACTCAAGAGGATTGGGATGGGTTTAGGTGAATGGGCGAGCAGTTCATCATGGCTTTAATGAACCAAATTCGTACTAAACACACATAAAACAATCACATTAAGACCTGCCAAATCCCTCCAATTTAACCTGTGTGTGCAGCACTCACTGTTCTTTTTACCCAAGCTGCTTTTCCCAGTGTCTCCTTGTTATTGTGGCACAGAAACGCAGCTTAATCTGAGTCTGAATGAGTTCACACTGTACAGTAATAAGACTATTCTTTCAGACCTCTCATGTCTGCTGGCTCAAAGTTCTGCATTGTTGGCACCAGTGTTGTTTGTGGGAAAATAATCAGGCTACCAACAGGGGTTTACTCACTGTTTCTGCTTCCACAATCAAGTAGAAAGGAGCTCTTGAATATCTCCACTCACCTGTTTCTCCTCAGAATAATTTATACATTAGCTGCTCTTTTATTCAAATAAGTTTTATGTAGTACTCAGGCAGAATTTTTCTTACCCACGGTCCCACAATTAAGCTGATTTGCTGTAGTTTGAATAGTGATCTGCAGACTAGTCAAGGAATTGGATTAGTGAAATGCATATTTACGCAGCCTTGGAATGTTTATGTTAAAATATTAAAAGTGCCATGTGGAGTTTTGACCACTAGTAGCGCCATAGAGTAATCTTTGTATGTTGTGCGAAACATTCCTATCGCCAATTTCGCACTGTTTAACTTGCTGACAGATGGTAATGGCAACGCTTAAAGAAGTGTAGCACCACATTTGTATTTTATTTGTCAAAAAAATTTGAGTACAATTTGCTCGACAGTTTTATGCAAATGGATGCAAATGCTTATCCTATGGCACTTAATAATATGTGATTGTTAGAGAGTGTAAGAAGACGTGATGAGATATTTCCACTAACTCCATCTACCTCTGTCTTGTCTTCTCTTGCAGACTGAAGGACTCCTGTATCCTCTGACTTGGCGTCTTCACCGACCTGCTGCTGCTCGAATTTTTAAAAAGAATTAACTTTGCCCTTCCACTGGGCTCTGTGTCCCCAAAAGACTGTCTGGACCCTCAGCAACACTCACACACACTTAGGAAACAAGCAGGTCACCATCTATGCATGTAATGAATTCGCTGAAGGCAAGACGGGTGTGTTTGTGTACATGTGTGTGGGCGGGTGAGTGGATGTGTGTTGTGTATTGGTGCGTCTCATGTTCCCTGCGCTTTCAGAGGCCATTTCTCCTGTGACCCACATTTTGGCGCAAGCACAGAAGCAAAGATAGTCAGATAATAACAACACTTTAATGCTACCCAGATGCTATTTATTTACTTGAGGGTAGTTTTATGACTGCCTGTATGAGTGTGAGTGCATTTCTGAGACAAAGTACAACCAACTGGTATGACAGTGAACAATGAAACCTTCTATAGAAATGGCCCAGGGAGTGAGGGTACCTTGGTACACTGAGTATATAAATATATTTAGATTAGATATGTTATTTATTTTTGGAAGATGAATGTCTGATAAGACCTACCCAATGCCTTAATGTCTATACTGTCCTTATGTTTTTCTATGAAATAAGAGATAAATATTCTATTACGGTATGTCTGTTTGGACCTACATCTCTATATTGTTATTCTGTTGTGGAAAGTAAATAGCCTAGCTTACCATTAAAATATTATTTCAGAAATGTACAGTACAGTGGGGCTGCTTGAGATCTGATTTATCGTATTGATATTAAAGTATTTTCTTAATTACTAATTTCTTATTTATTCTAACCTAGTTTATTTTTGTCCAATCAAAGCGCTGGACTTAAAGAAATATATTTCTAAATGTCTTTAAGCGTTATGCGTCTCTATAAGTCAGCTCAGACCCCACAACACCAGGCATCTGAATGCACTGTACCTCCCACAGTTCCTCAGTCACTTGAGCCTGAAAACCTCACACACTCCTACCTTCAAACCTACGGCCTGCTGTTGAGCTCGATGTAGGCCTCCCTGCTGTGATATCGTTTGACGGTACAACTGTATAGTTGAGGAGATGACGGAGGGGTGGAGCCAATAAAATAATATGTCTAGGTTGGGGCACAGTCAAAATGATTTCCGGTCAACCAGTGAGGGCTGAAGTGGGGGGGGGGGGGGGGGGGGAAAAAAAAAAGGGGGGGGGGGGGGGGGGGGGGGGGGGGGGGGGGGGGGGGGGGGGGGGGGGGGGGGGGGGGGGGGGGGGGGGGGGGGGGGGGGCTGGTGTCAGCAATACTGGACAATCAGTGAGAGGAGGAGGGTTCAGCAACACAGAAAAAGTATAAGAGGAGCGGCCAAAAGCCACATCTGGCCGCATCATGGAGGTTCAATGAAGAACCAGCTGTATGAAAAATATATCTTTATGGCAGACAGACAAAAATTTGATATGGCCGATAGAGGAAATCATGTAAAGTTATAAAATAAAGCAAGACTTTGTAATTATTTGACTGAGCAACTATGTAACTACAGGATAATGCTAAATGCTAAAACATGATGTAACAGCACAAATAGAGAAAAGTCATTAAGTGTTGTACAGCAGAAGGCCCATGTATTTAATGTTTGCTGACATTAGCCACCATTAGCTACAGGCTGACCTTAACTGCCATTAGGTACTGGTTGACATTAGCCATCATTAGCTACCGGTTGACCCTAACTACTATTAGGTACTGGTTGACATTAGCCACCATTAGCTACAGGTTGACCTTAACTACTATTAGCTACTGGTTGACATTAGCCACCATTAGCTACTGGCTGTCTTTAGCTGCTATTAGCTACTGGTTAACATTAGCTACCTTAAGCTACTGGTCATACCAACGCTGTAGCAGTGGTGTTTTATTGCTTATAAATTTACCTTTTAAATTGTCAGGAGAATAATTTATTTATTTCAAAAGTTAGTCTTGTTTTAATCTGAAGAATCTTAAGTTTTGACCCTCCCAAATAGCAGCCAAATGGTTCGTTAACATAAACGAAGCCCTTGATGCTATACTGACTGTGTGGTCTTTGCGTTGTCTGCTGTGCCATCTACAACTGGCTCTCAACCCCTTCAGTGTACAGTAGATTGTAACACTTTAACCATGTCTGAATGTATCGCTGAGCTGGTGGGAACACCACACACACAATGTGGGAAATGGTTTTGACAGAGTTGAATAATATTGGAGCAGTACCACACTAAATTGTGATATCTATTTATCTTCAGAGTCTTGAATGTGTATATTGTGTACATAGAGAGAGTTTAACTAAAAACAATCTATTGAAAATAACTAGAGTACTTAGATTTTACCTATGTTGCAATGATATTCCTGTGTAAAGACTTTGGCTATCGATTTTTAAAAAGGGGACGGGGTTTTTGCTTTGAGGTTGTACAGTGTATTGTATGCTTTCTCCCTCACAGTCCCTGTGACTATATGAAAAAATACTCTGTCTATTTTATTATAGAGATCTCTTTGCCTTGTTGACACACTTTACCTAATGGCATATGCAATAGTGACATGAATACAATCTAGTTTACAACCGTGGAACCAAATGTAACATTGCATTGATGATTTATTTTCTTTTCGTGGCGAGCCGAAGCTCTTTTGCTCCTTGTACATTTCTCTCTCTGCCAAGTGTTTTGTTTTTGTCACCAGGAACTTTGTTCCTGACATGTCTCAAGGCGCTTTCCCCATTTTCTGTGTCCATGAACAGACTCTTCTTTTGCAGATTGATCTTGGAGTGACTCAGTCTGAATGTGTCGTTGTCTTCCATTGTACATAGTTCAATATAATGTTTATTGTGATGCTCACAAGAGATGATTATTATGATTTATAAATTCTGGTAGTCAAGTATTGCTTTTGTCTGTATTGATTATGGATAGCAACCTACAGAAATAAATGAATTTATTTAAAGAGGTACAACTTTGTCTTCATTTTTATTTCAGCAAGTATTATCTCATGCAGCCTAAATGGCAAATGGAGGTGGTGTACTATTAAGAAATTCTCAATTCAATATTATTATAAGGATAAAATAATGATAATAATAATAGATTGAAACATATATTTTTCTTATAGAAATGCTTTAAAGCAAGAATAACATGCAGTATTTCTGAATTGTTTATGATATAAATGATTAAAAAAGTTGTATAGTGTAACTTTAAGAATTTTTTCCCCAAAAAACACACTAATTTTAATCCTTTAAACTGTGAGGCATCAACCTCAGGAGACTCCAGATCCCATCCTGCCCCTCTTCTTCTCCCTTACTCACTGGAATATCATGCATTTAAAGTCTAATAGCTTCCTGACTGTTTGCCATCCTGTGAAGACAAAGGAGCTGAATTCTCCGGGCGACACTTTCTCTCTCTGTAAGTGTTTTTATTTCAGTCGGAGGCTGAGGCAGGAAGCCCATACTGAACCAATGACTTCCTGCCAAGCCACGTGTGTTCAGAACGTACTGCGTACTCAGAGTCTGGAGGTCAGCGGGTTCAAAGCATGAAGTAAACAACACAGTTCACCTGTTTCTATCTCTGACACACTCGCATGCAGCTGTCATACAGGAACACTGTGTTACTTTACCACGCAGTTATCTTACTACACATGCTCATTGTAAGCTATAGAAGTAATTTCCATTGATGAGGTTCTTATCTTTGGTTACTTATTATGGGATTAAATAAGACTTAGAGGCTTAAAAGGTCAGTTCACCTGACAAAAAAGCTCTTTGGTGTCTAGTCATGCAGATAATTTGGGTTTTATTTTCCAGGGTTTTGATACTTTTATTGTCAGTGGTGAATGGACTTGTGTTTGTGGTATTTGAAGAAATAGTATATGTTCACTCATATGCTATCTTGCAGAGATTAGATAAGACTGATACCACAATCTTATTCGTGCATTACGTATTAAAAGTTTAGTGCTGTTTAGTGCTAATATGCAAATGTCAAGCTAACACTGTAAACTAAGATTGTGAAAATGGTTACATGATATGTGCTAGACATCAGCATGTTAGCATTGTAATTGTGAGCATGTTAGCATGCAGAGGCTAAAAACATCACTGTGCAGCCTCACAGATCCGCTAGCATGGCTGCAGACACTTAGGCACTTTAAATAACCAAGCTACTGTCACAAGCAACTGCAATTTTGGTATTCACATGACCTCGAATGTAAAAAATGGCAGCCCGGAAAACCACGCCATGGTCAATAACAAAGCGAAGATGTTTCTCTGTTTGGACGGGCAACGCTTTATCACATAGAGGATGATGTCACAGTCATTTATGACGGTCAGAGTCCCAACTATGGTGAGGGGGTAGATCTGTAGCTATATGTTTCCACTTTATTCAAACTGGGACCTATCTGAGCTTAACCATGCAGTGGACATGAGGCGTTCGTGTTTGTAGAGGCTCATTAAAAACAAGTTTGACTCTGAGACCAGTCTGGTGAAATAAATAGTTAACAGGCACATGTCAAAACCGGGCAGGCAGAGCAGAAGAGGCAAACATCTTCAACAGGGGATTAGGCTAAAGGGCAGAAGTCCAAAAGGCAGGTAGAGCATCATAACAAGTGTTGTGTAGTTCAAAAGAGCTAGCTCAAAGTTCAGTTCACACAGATCAAAATAAATTACTTCGCTATCACAGCCATGTTGGTGTCATCATCATGCACAGGAGCGAATGATGCTTAAGTTCAGGTTTATAAGTTGAAAACTAATGCATTCAGTTCAACATTCAAAAATTCAACAACATGTATAACACTGGTCATAACAGGCAAAGCTCAGGCAGGCAGAGAAAATAGCTGGGCCGCCAAGGCAGAAACACAATAGCGGCTCTCGAGGGGAATGAATGGAAGTGGGCCAGCATTTATGTTACATTTGGGCAGGTGGGCAGGGGAGGTCAGATGATGGGGAATGGCAGGAACATTGGGGTTACTGCAGGGCAGGTGGCAGGATCTGAAACGACAGGAGAATTCATACATTGCAGCGGGGGAAACAGACAAAGAGAGTGTGAGAATAGGAACTGGCTGACATTGTTAGCAGCATTCAGGCTACTACTCTCATTCTACATACTGTACACAATTCAATTAGTCTCCTGGGTCTGAACCAATGTGTCTCCTTGAAACACAGAACCCTCAGATAACAAAAAAATCCTGCAATCGCAATGTTTTTATAATGCAGTTGCTTTAATATTCTTTATGGGCATCAAGTTTCCAACTCTCCAGTACAGACACAAAATGTACACGCACACACACACAAGCAGCCTCTGAGGGCACACCTCTAGCTGCTGTGTATTAATTAGCAGTATGACACTGTCAGTGGGGCTCTGCACTGCTGCCAGGCAGAAACCAGCCTTACATAAGAGCCCACCACCAAGCCACCAGGAGGGACACAATGTTCCTCACCCCTCTCTGCACTGTCTGTCTGTCTGAAAGAAAAAAAAAAGCTTTTCTTTAACGAAATCTGTATGGGCACATTTCTGCTCTGAAGACTAACCGCAGGAGTGGGACATGAAACCAGAAGTCTTTGTTGCATGATGCTTTTTGTTGCTGCTGGTTGTCTTCGTCAACATAAAGGACAGCTTGCTAAATAAAGTGTGTCAGGGAAGTGAATTTCTCAAGCCTCTGTAACAACAGTTAAAGCTTCCTAAAATACAGTTTACAGGATGCTCCTTTGAAGTAATCGTGTGTGTGTGTGTGTGTGTGTGTGTGTGTGTGTCTATCTGGTCTATTCCTGGATGCCCTCAATTATTCCCAAATTTAGAATCACATTCACAATCACATGCT